TAAGACTTACAATCAATTTAATTTAACTATCAGACGACCGGCTTCGCTTTCTACAATATGCAAAGCATTTTCAGGTCTCGATACAAAGTTAAATAAATGCTGAAATGATAAAAACCCATATTAGGGTGTTGTATATATAAAGATAAACAAATTAGATGTAAATTACAATAATTATGCCAATATTACATTCTTTGGTTTTATTTCAAAATGAGTAAGTTGAATAAAAAGTTTTAAAAGTTTAAACAGACAAGGTAAGGCCCACAAATTGTTATAAAATAGTTAGATATTAGATTTTAATAAATGAGCAAATAAATAAACATTACTTACATGCCGGTTCTCTATTAATTGATGGATGGTAGAACATGGTTGAATCTACTATGTATTGTTGAATGGAGAACTCAATTCTGCTATTGTAGTTGTTTGACAGTAAACGGGAAGTTCTTGAGGAGATAGATTTGATCCAATGAAGCAGAGATATGTGTGTGATTGTTTGTTAAATGAAAGTGATGTTATATACCATTGAATTATTTAAAAGTTATTTATACTTATTCGAGAGATATATTTATGAAATGTGTGTTATTTATTGAGTAATTGTTTTATGAGGGTGACAGTTTTATGACAATGAATAAGTTTAGATGTACAACTTGTGTGGGTGTGCAATTATTTTTCAACTTGTACTTTTACAAACAGGACCGACAAACATGGAAGGCAATAGTAAACGGGGCAAAGACTCACGAAGAGTTGTAGCGCCATTTATGATGATGTAAGCAATGTTGTAAAAACATTTTATATTAATTTTTGTTTATTTTTCGTTCTCGCAAATATTGGCTTGGATCTTAAATCGGGTCGTTTTCAAGTAAATCTTCCACTTGTCTGTGAAAATGCGCATAAAAAATTAGGTCAATCTTTTAAAATAGCTCTAGAATATCTTCTTGAACATACTAGAATAGTCTCTCTCTCTCTCTCTCTCTCTCTTACTAATGAAAATTTAGAAAATAAATATTTTCTCCAGCATCACTGTATATTAAAGGAAGAATCCTTAACAACAAAACTTAGAGTTGTTTTCGATGGTTCAATGAAAAGTTCTATTAGTTACTCGCTCAATGATATTCTACTCAAAGGTACTACCTTTCAACCGGAACCTTTTGACATTTTGTTGCGCTTTCCATTATATTTCCTTTGGTTTCACAACTGATATACAAAAGATGTACAGACAGGTTAAAATCAATCCTGATCAAACCTTTCTGTTAAACATACTTTGGCGTGGCTCCTTGGAAAAATATATTGAGTGCCTGGAACTGCAAACAGTTACATATGAAACTAAAAACGCCAGTTTTCAGAGTACTCGCTGTTTAATGGTTCTGGCAATTACTCAAACTGAATATCTCCTGGCTAGTGATGATTTTCAAAATAGTTGTTATATTGATGACATTCTCTACGGTGCTAATGATGAGCAAACTGTCCTCAAAGCTCACAAGGAAATAACTAGTTTGCTTGAAACAGCATGTATTTCTCTACATAAATGGTGTTCTAACTCGGACTTGTTTCTAAAAAATATTTCTTCGAACTCTTCTTCTGTCATAGCTCCAGATAATTACTCTAATAAGGTTTTAGGTTTATGATGGAATCCTGTTCTTGACACGTTTTCAATCTCTCTTCCAGATTTCACCTTAAAGAACTCGTACACTAAGAGAAATACTGTCAATGTGATATTGAAGTACTCCAATATTTGATCCCCAAGGTCTTATTTATCTTGTTACAGTTGTCGCTACAAATATTGGTATTTAAATGAACTACGAGGAGTTAACAAGGTCATTCACCAATGTATGGTTTGTTTCAAGTTTCGTGCCGAAACCGCTATCCAGATTATGGCAGATTTACCAAAAGAACATTTAAACTCCTCTCGAGTGTTCACTCATGTTGGATTAGATTTTCACGGTTCCTTTCAGATAAAGGCTTCTTTAATAAAATCATATATTGCTGTTTGTTTGCTTGTCGACTCGAGCTGTTCATATTGGATGTCGTTTCAGGCCTATCTACAGAGACGTTTCTTCTCGACCTAAAACGTTTTATTAGCCGTAGAGGCCTCCCTCAGACAATATTCAGTGACAACGCCACAAACTTTCTTGGTGTTCGTAACCAGCTATTTGAACTCGTATAAATTTTTAAAGGAAAAAGAAAGCTCCCGTTCTATTAAAGAATGTTTGGCCTCGTCCCATATTCGCTGGAAAATTATAGTTCCTCGAGCCCCCCACCATGGTGGTATTTGGGAAAGTGCTAGTAAGAGCGCAAAGCATCATATGCGTAGGCTCCTGAGCAATATTAAGCTTACGTTCGAAGAATTCACCACAGTTCTCGTTCAAATTGAAGCTGTGCTCATTTCCCTGCTTCTTTGTTCTCTTTCAAATGACCCCTCTGATTTTACATATCTTACTCTTGGACACTTCTTGATTGGACAATCTCTCACCTCATTCCCCGAAAAAGATGTGATCCACATTCCCAAAAATAGATTAAATTTATGGCAACATTTGTCCAAACTCTAACAAGTGTTTTGGAAAAAATGGTCTATCGACTATTTGAATAGGCTTCAAAATCGCCCTAAATAGTTTCTTAACACTCCTCCACATCTATATTAAATGAATTTACGTATGTGTCAATATTTAGATAATAGTAAGGGATATGTAATTCTAATAGATAATAATCGCAATTATAGGAGGGAAGGATGTCATTTCCGTAAGACTCGCTATTAAATTGTAGCTGGTGGTAGTTGTTGATAACTGTTATCACTTTGAGGTGATTTTTACGCCGCCAGAAGGAACTATCTATTTTGGAATTGGGTCCTTGTATTTTCAGATCTTTGTACTAAGAATTTTGGCATAAAAATTGTCGTCTAAGATACAAAGGAGGCTCTGCTGCTTCGATTTCTAAAATATTTGTTGGTGTGCTTTTTAAACCAAGACAAAGTCATAAACACTTATTTTTTAATTTTACCAACTTGTAACACTGAACGTATTCGCATTCTGTAGAAGATTAGTGATATATTTGGGTCTGCTCCACACTTTGTGTGACTAAATATACCATTTCAAAATATTAAATGCATGTTGGCTAGTTTTCATAGCAAGTGTACAAGTTTCGTACCAAGTTACAGGTTTTCGTTTGCAATCTTTTTCCCAGCGCTTTCTAGTATAATTTCAGTTAAACAATAACTGTTTAAATGGTATCTATAGTTAGGGAACGTAGTTTATAAAGTGCCTATTTATTAATTAGAGATATAGATTCCAGTTTATCAAATTTAATTTCCATTTTTGGATAATACTTTCCATATAAAGTGTTTGTTTTATGATATGTTTGCTATGTAAATAGGAATACTGGACGAAATAAATCTTTTAATTAAGAGACTCTGTATTGTTACAGTATTCATTTAGATTCCACTGTAAAATAAATGTTTTATAACATTTTAGTTTGCCATTTGAGAAAGAGAAGTAACGCTTTCTATATCTAATGATTTAGTGGCGTTGAGTTGTAATTTTTCTGATTTTATACCGCAGCCTAAAATATGATTGTTTGCAAATATCTTTAAACATGGCTATATCAGTTGTGTAGTTTTGTACAATGGAGTTGGAGTATTTTGAGTTTAAAGCATTTTGTATGGCATCATAGATAATTGTGAAACCAAAACGGAATTTTGGGGACACAGCTCCTTAATAAATTCAGATAATGAGGTTTTTTAGTGCTAAACAGTGTACTTGTAATGCTAGTAGCAGTTGAAGCTTGGGTGAGATAGATATCCACCTTTTGATTTTTGTGACACTACTTCTGTCTCCACAGGATTCATATGTTTTCAGAATTATGATTTTGATCTTCTTCATAGTCATTATTATCTGTGGGAAGAGATTGGCTTATAGATAAGAATATTTTTTTATAGTGGGGATTGAATATTTATCTTAGGGGTTGTTTCTTCATGTGATGGAGAATATATTGCTCAGTGTTCTTTTGTCACATACTTAAAGAAGTTTAGTTTATCAAGTAAATAAGTTGGTATTGTCATATCTCAAAAAAGTTAATCGAGTTACTGGTTGAAGTCCTAGTTTTTTAGTTGATCTTTTATTAGAGAGTTGGAATGGAATTGTGGGACAGTAGCATTGATTAATTTCATAAAGTAGGGACAAATCAAGGGAAACATTTCCCGGTAAGTCTATCTAAGGATGTGGCAGTTTTCCAGGCAGAAATAATGGCAATCCATCACTGCGTAAAAAAAAAAAAGACAGGAAAGGATGTTCCGTTCAATTACTATCTTCACAGATAGTAAGGCAGCGCTTAAGGCACTCAATTCTGTAGAGGTCAATTCAAAGCTAGTATGGGATTGTTTTTGTGTCCTAAATAAACTAGGAGACCATAGCAAAGTTATGGTAGGCTGGATACCAGAGCACAAGGTTCATAAGGGCAGTAAAAAAGCAGATTAAATGGCCAAACAAGGCTCATCAATGCCATTCGTTGTTCCGAAACACTTCTGCAGTGTTGCAAAGACAGTAACAAGAATTGCTACAAGGAAGTGGGTAGTAGGTTTTAACTTGTGTTCGTTCATATTTTGTTCTGAATGACATATTTTTGTGCTTTAAGTAGTGTATTAACAATGTCAATATTGACGCAGTAAATGCATATACAATTGCTGGAAGTAGGAAGCAAATATTATGTTTTTCTGTTGCACTAGATTTCCTATCGCAGTAGTGTATTCATGAATGTCATTATGTAAGAACACTCGAATATGTGACGTTGGTTTGTATGTCTTCTAAATTTAAATTTTGCAATGGTCCTGTCTCAAAAGTTGTAAATGGCAGAAATTAAGAACAGGTTCTTATCAGTATTAAAGATTCTAATTTTTATTGATAGTTATTGTTTCAAGATGCTATTCACAATTATGATTTTTAGCACAAACACAATAACCAAAGTGTTAATGACTGAGAAAACATGTGGGAGGTAGTAATAAACAAACAATAAATATGAAAACAAGTATATATTTAAATAACAATCCATTATCCATTTTTCCATTTTGTTATCAACAAACCAATCACCTTCCATAAATAAAATAAAAATAAAAAAATAAATTAAATGTAAAAAATGATGTTATCTCGAAGAGCTAACTGTGGCACTTTCTTCTGGTCTTATATTGGTATAAATGGGCCGGCCCATAAACCTTGGTACTTGATCTGTTAAACTTTCCCTTCTTCTAATTCTAACTGTGGGTGGAGTTTGAGCTGATTGTTTTTTCATGTATTTGAACTTCCCTTCACCAGGAAGCTTTGGCAAGAGAGATGGCTGGATGTACCACACTCTATAAGTAAAAAACCAAGTAACAATAGCAACTACTCCCCCAAGGAATTTTTCTATCATGATATGGTAATACAACATGGTGCTGATCAACATAATATCCCACAAAATTTGAATAATAGCAATTATTATAAACAACAGTCTTATATATGGTGTAAACTTTTCATAGTTTGTCTTCATTTCTTTTAACTCCATGTCAGATAGGTTGCGTAAAGGATTTGGTTTTTCATTTGCATCTCTTGCTAAACGTTGATGTTCTTCTAGTCTTATGTAGTCTTTTATTGTGTCCCAGTTTACAATACACCTTGTCTCTTCTATAAGTAACAAGCTACCATAAATTAAAATAAATGAATGGCCGGACAGATCAAATCCATTCCAAACATGGCCTTCATGTAAACATACCATTTTGCTATTGAAACCTGGAGTTGCACATCTGCCAAGGGATGCTTCAATTATGTTGAAAACTGTTGTCCATAACCACCAGAAAAATGTTGCTATTAGGATTCTTGGGAAGTGCTGTTTAAGAATCTTTTGTTTATTTCCACAACAATATACCACTGACGTCAAAATAAGAAAAGGCACGATGAGGGTCAAATTCCATCCCCAGGCAAATTTAACAAACACCTTATTAAATATATTATCGGATCTTGCCAAATAGGTTTTTGGTATCATTAATACATCAGCTATTAATGATATAAGAAACAAACACGCTAAATATATTCCCACCTTCAAATTTGTGTCAAAAAATAGTGATTTCTTGCATAAGTATAAAACCATTAAAGTTAAAATTTCCTTTACTGATGTAGGCTCACTTGTGGGTTTCGTCCCTTTTTGTTCTATATTATTTGAGTTATTTATATTAGGCCGAAAATTTAAATTCGTTGCGTGAACTGGCCGTCTTTTACTAACCATTTTGACGCAGTATTAAAAAATATAGAGTGGTACATTTAGTTCAAAATTTGTTATAAAATTTCACATTTTCAAGTATATATTGCCGATTTATCATGACATTGTGCTTTAGATGTCAAACGTCAGTGTCAATTGTCAATTATAGACGTGGTCACGTGGTTAGGTATAAATAATTTTGGAGTGTATAAGCAACCTTCGGGTTATTGAAAAATATCTCCTGATAATATATTATACATTTATATATTTTTTCAAAAACACTTACACCGCATAGTGGTGTAGAGCTCTCTTAATAATAATAAATCCAATTATTATACACCAACTAACTGTCTTCTGGTTCTTGTCTGGTCTTTTCTTTTCTGAATCTAATTTCAGCGTGACTCTCTGCGTTATAATTTAACTGATATCCAAGGTATACATTTTAATCAACTTGCGTAAGTTTTCTACTATTTACATATATACAGGCGGTTTTATATTCTGTCGTTTACTTATTACAATATATACAAGTATTTTGGTTTTCTGTATGTTCAGATCCAGATCTGCTTCTTTACAGCTGCTCCAACGACACTGTCAAGAAATATTTTTAGATCTTCTTTACTAGAAGCTAGAACTACTGTGTAGTCTTCATCATTTTGGCCGGAAACATTTAAACTGTTTGGCAACACTTTGCTAATGCCTTGTCTTTGGAATGTTTTCAGAAAAGACATTAAACATTTACTAAGTAAGATTATGTGTTGATTTGTCCTTGGTGTTATTCATTATCTAGAAAATTATTTCAAATTAATAAAATATTTCCACAGAGTAGGTACAGTTATTTCTTATTAATTTTGATTGGGACGTGCATACATCACTGATACTGCCTTGTTCACACTTGCATTTTTCCGGTCGTTAAAGTGAATAATCCTATAGATGGTTTAATTAATCGCTTTTAACACTGTAACGCTCCCATATGCTTGATTTCTGGTTCACAGATTAAGGCAGACGATTGGAGCTTTAGACACTACCAAATATTTACCAATAATTCATAGCAAATTAAGAGATAAAAACAAGATTATATATGCAATAAAAGTAACAGTAGTATCGTAAATTATTTGAAATTAATAGATCAAGTCTTAAAAGTTTTTTAAATTTTTTTTATACTACAAAATCACAGAACACTGATCACAAATTAGGCTATGGCATAGATTAAAATAGTTGTCTGAGATCTACATTTATTTTTTGTAATAACAATTATTAATCTCTAAGTGAAACCACAAATTATACAATTTATGTAATTTTATGTGGTTTCACTAAGAGATTAGTAATTATTGTTATTACCTCACAAAGTCGCAAAGCCCATTAGAGAGATAATTTTCATTATGATTTATTTTTTGTAGTGGTTCTCCTGTTATTGGGAGATCTGTCATATGTGACAATCATCTTGTCAAAAAAAGTAGACATGACATGGTGGATCCTAGAAAGTGGAAGTTGTTTATAAATTTGTTATATTTTAACAAATAGTGAACGTTTAACGTGATTCGGTTTAATATAGTTTGTTTAATTTACTTTGCAAGGAAATCCTATTCTTTAAGATGTCCTGTGCTGTATTGTCACCGATTAAGTAATTAAAGTCGCAATGGCAGACCATTTTTAATAAAATACTTTTACTAAAATCAGTGTTTGTGATTATGTTTTATTATATATATTCGTCAAAAATGTGCGGTATTTCGAAAACTTTATTGGTACTTAGTTGCCTGATTTTCTTTTGCCAAAATTTAAGTGGTGAGTACAGTACTTAGATTAGATTTAAATTTAATAACAATAATACAGGACCCTTCAATTTTTTATTCATTTGACAATAAACGGTAAGACGCAAATTGGGAGATGAATTTAATTAAACCAGTTTATTGACCATATACTAATTTAATGATTTAAAATAGAAGTGGAGTACTAACTAGAGACAATTGGTTTTCTTTTATCCTTTCTTGTTTTTAACCATTGATTTAGTTTCATGAACTTGTTTTGTAATCTTTTTACCAGGTATATGAAATTCATGTCTAAATTTCCTTAGTTCATGCATCACCATTTGTCTTAGTACACTTACATACATTTAAGTTTGTGTGGATTTGGCAGGTAGTTTGCTGATCTACTTAAATTATATTTATGTATTTTGTTTTTCTTTTAAATTTTCAATCTGTTTATTTATGTAAGTACATTATGTAAGTTTTTCTAGTTCTATTTCCTTATTTTCTTACTTCAATACTTTGCTTTATACAAAGAGTTAATGTGCATTACTGTTTCATCACAATTACTCTTTCAAATTTCTTTTTGAAAGGTCCTGGTTCTGAAGTTGGTTTAATTTCTGTAACAAGAAAAAATATCACCTTTTAAAAGCTTAAAACCTACCAGTGAATAGGGCCAAATAAAAGAAGCATATTGGGTAAAACCAGAGGTTGAAGTCCAACCAGCAGGTGGAAGTTAATACCAGATTGTTTACTTTCATGGTATTCCTTCAGATCCAAGAATATCAACTATGTTGAGATAATTTTCCAGGGGACAAATTTTTGTTTGATGTGACATTGAACTCTATATATTTGATCTAGAACTTTTGTTTGTATTATTTAGCAGAAATTTTGATAATATGTGTACAATATTTTGTCAAAACATGCATTTATTAATTATGATGTGATATCTAATTTTGAGGAAAAATGTTATTTGTGTCCATTACAAAAAATTTAGTAGATATGACTGATATAATTTGTCCTGATTACTAAAATAAGAAATAGTGAGATAAGTCTGTAAATATCCCAATGAGAAAATTCAGAATTTATGAAAAACAAGATTTAAACTATCTAAAACAACAGCACAATGTATAACCAACAACAGTACAAAAATTGCCAAGAAAATATATTTGCCTTTCTACAGTAAGTATATATTTAATGCTTTTTATTGACTTGCCTACTTGCTAAGAGTATTGATAACATTGCAAATACTTAAATTAGGCAAATCTGTATGCAATATTTCACCATATTGTAATATATCACCCTTGTAAGTATATAGTATATGTAAACAAAATAACTATTGATGCCTGATGAGATTAACACTGGTCAAAATATTGGTGAATAGATACCACTCCACTAATCTGACATTCCACAATAGAACCAGTCTCCATTATCATGTATAATACAATTCAAGCTTAAGACAAAACACTATGAAATTTATAAATAATATAGGATACAGAACTATAGTAATATTGATATATTTACAATTTATTTAAAGCATTGTTTAATGCTATATGAAGGGAGCAACACCTTAAAGAATAAGAAACATAATAGTAATGGTGTAAAAGAAAACAAAGAAAATGTCCAACAATGAACAAATTGTAAGTGCAAAAAATTATCTGACACACCTTCAGAATATAGGAGAAAAGAAATTGTTAGATTTATAAATAGATAAATTTCCTAGTAAATAAAGTAAGCAAGATAACCCACTTTCATCTATTTACTTGGATCAATCAAGGGATCAATCTTTGGCATTCGTCATTGCCAAGTTGGGAGGTTCATTTATCTAGGAACAAATATAACTTGAAGATCAAAAATATAGAGGAAGAAATCCAAAATAGGCTAAAGAAAGCAAACAAGTGTGTTTATATATTAAATAGGCTACTAATAAATAAATGCCTATCAAGAGGTGCAAATTAAGAATATATAGTGTGTTTATTAGGCCTATAGTAACTTATGCATCAGGGACATGGATATTAAATAAAAAACAACAAAGAATGGTGCAGATAAGGGAATGTAAAGTACTAAGGAAAATGTTTGGAGGAAGAATAGAGAACAGTGTTTGGATTAGAAGGACAAATTAAGATCTGAGAGACACGTGGGGAGCCCAGCATACTAGGAGTAATAAAAAAGACCAAGATGGCTAGGACACATATAGAGGATGCTAGAGAGTAGATTACCACTTACTTAGAGAGTAGCTTTTCAGAGAAGGGGCTGACCCAGAACAATGTGGACAATGAAGTAGAAGGTGATCTAAGAAGACTTGTTAACACTGAAAGCATTTTGCATTGTAACAAAAAATTATTGAAACAACATAGAAATCTCTTCCTTCTACAAGAATCTTCATTAAAAAGGTCTAAAACTTGTAAAACAAGGACATAAAATCTATAATCTTCCATTTTAAGATTATGTTATGAACATAATTATTAAAATTAAATAGGACAATTGAAAGTACATAACATTTACGCATACCAATTTTTAGTTGAGTAGTTTGCTGGATATCTTAAGTGAAAAAAAGTGAAAGTCTTTGCACTACAGAAAAGAAACTTTAATATTAAAATATTTTTTTAAAAGTTTTAGATTCTAAATTCTAAGACAATTAAATATTAGAATAAAATAGAACTATTTTTAATAGATCAAGTAAATTCTCGAATTCGCTGATGATATAGTTATAGTAGGCAGAAGTATGAGAGACATGGTGTAGTGTTTTCCAAGGCTTGCAGACACAGCAAGTGAATTAGGACTAGTCATGTGTAACACTGTGTGGTATGGCACTTTTGTGCTGATACTTTATGGTGCGTGATGTGTATTGACACCGCGACAATAAAGTTTCATGACACAGTAACAGTGTGGTAACACCCTGAGTGTTATTTTGCAATTTGCTCAGGTCTGAGCAATGCAATTTACCGCAATGGTGCGATTTGATATAAGATACAACAAAAAGAGACAGAACACGAAAGATGTGCCTTAAAATTTTCGAATCTCACCGAAACAACAGTGTCTTTCAACGCTTTCAACTGCGTTGACTATTTTGTATTTTACCTGGTTGCCACGATTTATATATTTTTACAGATAATTTTAAATCTTAAAAAATAAATTAAAATATATTTCTGTTTAGGCAGATAAAATAACTAATAAAGAAAAAAAACTTATTATAAAAAAACAATTAAATACAATTTCAAATCTAGGTCCAAACAACAAAACAAAAAACAAAAAATTTTAATTTAAAATTGTTATTGTTTAAATTATGTTTAAATATTGTTTAAACTCGTTATAGTTTAAATAATTATAGTTAACTTAAAAATCAGTGGAGAGATATTAAACGCTAAAGAAAGAATAAAGATAGCTACATAAAAAATTTCAAATCTAGGTTAACGCAACAAAACAAGTTCTTTAGCTGAACTATTTAAAAATGCCAATATTTATATAATTGCATTTTTCATCTGTAAAATTCTCTTAATCATATCAAATGTGGAATTCCATCACGGAACTACATCATTTTTTAATTTTAGTGATGGTATGTCCATTCGCTCTGCTGTCGCTTTCAATTGAGCTAATGCACGGCTAATTCGTCGGAAATAGCTTACTATATTTTTTACCGAATCTCTTCTTCTTTCTCTCTCTTTACCACCTTATCACGTTGATTTATATGCCACGAAAATATCGCATATTTTTCTCCATAATTTTTTTCACACTTCTAGCTTTTTTGCAAATCTCTGACTGCTCTCAAAAAACTGACAATGTCGCAATCTAAATCATCAATCAAACTATAACAAATTATCGTTTTGTGTCCTTTGTTCCCAAAAAGATTTTAGTTGTAAAAAGATCAACTCTCAGTCAGTCTTGCACATCTATTAAGTAAATGCAAAACAGATGTTATAGCTTAGGGAAGGTTTCAAACGTTCACATAATGTCAATGTCTTACCGTGTTATATGACACAGTAGTGTTGACACACTGAGTTAATACAATAAGCATTGTTAATTAGGAATTGTGGTAAATAAGGAAAAAACCAAACATATGTTGGTTTCTAAAAACCCTCGAAATATCCAACAGAGAATTCAAATTAACAACCATACCTTTGAGCAAGTCAAAGAATTTACATATCTTGCAAAAGATGCATAGCAATAGCAAACAGAACTGTTTACAGTCTCCAGAAACATTTAAAAAATAAAAATATAAAACGTGCAGTAAAGCTTAATATATACAAGACCTTAATAAGACCGGTTTGATATATGGGGCTGAAACGTGGACTTTATTTCAAAATGATGAAAGACTTCTTGGTATTTTTGAGAGAAAAATTCTTAGATAGATTTTTGGGGCCATAAATGAAAATGGGCTATTGCGTCCAAGATACAACTTTGAACTATATCAGTTATACACCGATCCAGATAGTGTGAAATTCGTTAAAGTGCAGAGACTTAGATGGGTTGGAAACATTTTTAGGATGTCAGATCACGAAACATTTCCAAAACCAGAGGGCACAAGAAGCAGGGGACGACCACGAATGAGATAGATTGATGATGTGGAAGAAGACCTACAGATTCTAAGGGTTAGAAGATGGAGGGAAGTTGCCAAGAATTGACTTCTTTGTGAGCGACTTCTTTGTGAGCAGGCCAAGATCCACAACAGATTGTCGAGCCACTTATGATGATGAAGAGGAATTATAATAGCTGTCTTTAGGCACTCTGTAAATGAAATATATCTTTTTCAAAGGAATTATTGCCGAGTGAGACCAGGACTTCTAACACATTTTTTGGGAGATTTGAAAAAATTTTTATGGATAGTCCATCAGTATACTTATTTTTACTTTTCCAATCCTTTTGCATCTTTCTTTTTTGATCATTAATTTTTATGTGAAACTTTAACACCAAGTAAGTGTCCAGACATGTAAACTATAGATGAAAACAGTTAGTATTGGTTAAAGTTAATCTTTTCCCTATCCACAAATTTCTCCAGTAGTTTTTTATATAACAAAACACATGTAACAACTATTGCTCAAA